CGAACACTGAGCAGATTTTTTGAGTAGTGGAAAGTTCGAGCTTGGAGTCATTCGAAAACTAAGGTATCACTGTACACGATTCCACTTGATTTTTTTAAGGTACCAAGGCCTGAGCTAAAAGCCTTCACTGTGAGTTATATCCCTAGCCCTTTTATTTCTGAGAAAGGGTCTTTCTAAATCGCCCAGAGTGGGCTCCAACTTGTAACACTCTTGCCTCAGCCTCCTGGAGCACTGGAACTCCAGGTATGTGCCTCTATGGGTGGCTGGCTACAAAGGAGAATTTATGTAGAAAGCAGATCGATAGGGTAGCACAGGGCTGGGACAGAACTACAGGAGGACACAAGGGAACTTTCTGGGCTGATGAGCATGTATTACTCAACTCTAAATTTGCTAAAACTACAACACTGCACAGAAGCTCCAGTGGGGCAATTGGTTAGCGCACGGTACTTATGTAACACTGCACATTTGAGCCACTGAATTTTGTAGGTGGATAAAGTATATTTAAAACCCTTTTAGTTTTGTTTCCTGTGCTGGGGATTGAAGCAAGGGCCTCATTCATGCTAGGCACATACTTTTACACTGAGCTGTACCCCCAGCCTCAGCCCCAAAACTTTTTTTTTTCTTTTTGAGACAGGGTCTCGCTATGCAGTTCAGGATAGCCTTGAGCTCACTTTGTAGCCCAGGCTGGTCCTGAACTCTCAACGATCCTCCTGCCTCAGCCTCCTGAGTTCTGGGATTACAGGTGTGCACCACTCTATGCTTCTTTTCCCTAAAAAACTTAAAAAAAAATTTTTTTAAAGTACTGCCCCATTACAAAAAGCTGGCCGGTGTGGTGGTGCCTATCTGCAACCCAAGGCAGGAGGATTTCCATAAATTCTGAGGCCAGCCTGTCTACATAGTGAGTTCAAGGCTAGCTTACACTACAAAGCAAGACTCTGTCTTAAAAACAAAAACAACCTGTACCATTAAAGTCTTAGAAATGACTGTTTTAAGGTTCTAGGTGACAGCCTATTTTATACAATTTCAATGCAATGAACTCCAATATGCCATTAGGATTAATAGCACTAGTATTTGCTTCAAAACAAAATACGCTGCCTTTGAATCCTCTCTAAACCTTATTCATCATTGCTTTGTTATGAGCCATGTAATTATGACAAACTTTTTGTCTTTCAGTCATTTTTTACCCAACCCGCATATCCTATAGTATTATTTTAAATCTCATTAGGTACTGTCCACAATTCCCAATACACAGTTCTCTCAGAACATCTCATAACCTCAAATGAGAATCTTAGTATTTATATTGAAAATGCAATTACATATTTTCTAACTATAAAGGTATCTTCCTGTTCGTTTGCTCATTAAGCCACTCACATGCTGCCCCGATCATTTCCCAAAATTTGTTTCACATCAGTCTTTGTTTTCATTAACTTTGCTCAAAATTCTTTGCTTTGAATTTGATGGATTCCTGTCTTCAAAGCCGTGCTGAATTCTATGCTCGGGCGGGCTGTGATTTCGGTCCAACTCCAGTTCTTCGATTCCGTGACAGATTTGCCCAAGAGATAATGCCCCCTTCCCTGCGGAGCCCAAGTGCGGGAGGAGGCTGTGGCTCAGCGGGCAGAGCAAAGCTTCATTCCTAGTCCTGCAAAATACACAACGATCTACCCCAATCAGATCTCCTATGAAACAGTGGGAACCCACAGCAGACGAAAAGCATAAAGCTACAGGGCTGGGAAGACAGCTGAGCATCTGCCTACTGTGCTAGAAGCCCTGAATTCAAGCCCCACCACAAATGAACACCACACATTTTAAAATTTTAGATGACTGGAAGACAACTTGCCTGCTATAGCCCAAAGTGACCTAAATTATAGCTTTAAACCAGTCCTGTGAGTTACAAGCTACATTAAGACTTTAGCACAGCACAAGCATAAGCAACTGCTTAAGCAATGCTTAGAAGAGAAACCTGGGATACCCTCAGATTAAAAAAACTTCTAAAATCTCAATTTGGTGGTGCATGCCTGTGATCCCAGCACTCAGGAGGCAGACGCAGGATTGCCATGAGTTTAAAGCCAGCCTGGGCTACACAGTGAGTTCAAGCTAGCTTGAGTTACAGGGTGAGATTGCCTTAAAAAAAGAAAAAAAAGTTCCCTCTAAATAATTTCCTGGGCTGGGGATACAGCTCAGCAGCACAAGTGCCTGGCTGGCAAGTACAAGGTCCTGAGTCCGATTCCTAGTACCAAAAAAATAAAATGTCCCTTTAAAGCTCCATAAACACAAACACTGCTTTTTGAGTGTTCTGTTTGCTACAGAGGCTGCATACTTTCTGTCCCATTTTCCTTATGTCTGACCTCTTGTGTGTAGATCTGGGGATTGAACCCACAGCCTTGCCAAGGTCTCTAGCGTTGAGTTACACCCTTAACCCTTTTATTTTTGAGTCAATTGCCCAGGCTGGTCTTGAACTTGCAATCAATTCTCCTGCCTTAGTCTCATGAATACTTGGAATTACAGACAATCTGGGTACCAGCTCACACATTTAAAAAAAGCCAAAACAACCAAAGAGAAGTCAAAAGCCACATTATCACCAAACACTGGGCTTAGTAGAAAGATGTCACATAAATGAGTTTGGTCAGCAGGAAACACCACTTTCCCAACAGGCAGTCAAGAAAATAAGATTACAAGAATGCTGAAAAGCCTATGAGTTTTTAAAAATCGCTCTGCCTCCAGAACCAGGTTTAAATAAAGCAAATATTCAACCAAAATGGCATTAAGTGGTAAGGCTACACCAGAAAGGAAGATCAATAGTTTTAGGAATTTTTAAATTTATCACAATTACAAAATGTCTCTTTCACCTAAGAAATCAAAAGACAAAGGCATCACGGTAAGCAACCACTACACTTCTACGAAATAAAAAATCACTGCTATATTGTAATTGCAAAACTGGAGGCAGTAAAAAGTTCAGAAATATACTTTTATAATCAAGTGATTGGTCATAATTTGAACCTTATTTATCACATTATGTAGACATTACAATTCAAGTTTTGTGTCCTCAGTTATTAGGATATGTGGAAATAGCTCACATTTAAAAAGATTTTATGATTACATTATCAAATCTGATAAAATCTTATAAAAATATCTATGTACTCAATATAAATATATTGTTAAACATGTAAAGTAACATTTAAAAAAAATTGCTAAGGTACCAGAAAAGGATTCCTATTAAATAGACACAATTTAACATTCAGAACTACATAAATTAATTTTTCTTAAAAAAGGCATACCTTGTGAGCCATAATAAATTTCCCCAGCACCACTTTTTTATTCTAGAATTCTTCCATTAGGTTTCTCTTCTATCGCTGACATGTAAAAATCACAGCTTTACAATATATAATCTTAATGTTGAAAGTCCAAGCACAGTGCACATTAAACTAGCTACTACTACTCAAACTTTTTCATCAAATACAATTTTTAAAAAATAATACTTGAGCCGGGTGTGGTGATGCACACCTGTAATCCCAGCACTTGGAAGGCTGAGGCACGAAGATGGCCCCAAGTTTAAGGCCAGCCTGAACTAGTGAGATCCTGTCTCAAAAAAACAAAAGAAAAAAAACTTCACTTAAAACTAAGGGCAAAAACAGCCATATCTTGCTTAAAAATTCCCTAGGGAAGAGAGTCTGTAAAAGATTTCCCATATTATAGAGGAAATTTACTTTCTCTTCTTATAAGGTTAAATTCTAATCAAAGGCACACATTTAAAATGCCATATAAGCAACAACAGTACTGTCCATAAAATAAAGCAGCCCAGTGTAGGTGTAAACAATTAAAATGTAATAAACAAGATTTGGCGTATCTTTTCTCAAATTTGTCATTACAATGCTCTTTCCATGAAAAATTCTTCCTCCTGGAAGTTTTCATGTACGTTTTAGTTTTTAAAAAAGTACCACACTAAAATAATATGTGAAAAGATTTAGTCGCGGCAATTTCACCGAAGTTTTTATTGCCTCTGTTGGGAGGATGACAGGGATTGGAAGGAACACAACTGAACTTACAGCGATGGCAGAGGATACTCACTAACGATAACCCTGATCTCAAGTATCTTTTGTGGGCGCTTCTAATTGTACACTTGACTATTTAAAAAGCATTACATTTTAAAATGGACACCTGCTCTGACACTGGCAAAAAGGAAACCGGTTCAACCTGAAAGAGTCAGCATGGGGAGCTGAGCAGAATGGAGACTGCAATGCTGATGGATTAAAGCAATTCAAGCTCTATGTGTGCGTCTCCCTCTCACAGACTCTCTCTCTCTCTCTCTCACACACACACACACACACACACACACACACGTAAGCAGTTTTAGTACACAATATTCCCTGTACCCAGACATTTATCTTTAGAATAATCACAACACATCCAATCAGTTCTCTTTTCAGCCCTAGTAATAGCTTTGTTTAATTCTAAGATGCCATCATAGTGAACAACCTTAACTTTTATGCTACATAATTATATTCAAAGCTTTATGTACTTTTGTTTATAATTACACAGTAATTATAAATGTTTAGTACCAAACTGATGACAAACGCTATTTTGTTGAAAAGGTCTTGCATTTAAAAGAAAAGTCTGTGAAACCCAAGGCACTAGGCCACAACCAATACCAGATTTTTATGAAAACAATTTATATTGGGGAAAAAATGGTATCTCATTTCAAAACACAGCATACTTGAAATAATGTGAAAATAGTATTGTAACTCAAAATCTTTAAGACAGGAAATGAAAGTACATATACTTGTATCTTTTAAGATTTTTTCATAATTGAAATTCCTCAATATTTACAAAAATGAAATTAAGACACACTGAAAACAGCAGGATTCTTCCCCTTTTTTTTCTTTGAATAACTAATTCCAATAACCTGAATAGAAATTTTCAAATTTTTTTGGTAAAATTAAACTCTTGAATTAAAAGTTATGACTGGAATGTTAATAAAATATCTCATCAATTTCAAAATTATGTTAATGAAAAGCAATTTTAATAAGTCACTGTTTCTTGAAATCACTTCTGCATCTGCATAAAATGTCCTGCTATTCTGAAGTACATTCCTTTATTAACATCAATACTAGGCCACAGACAGTGCCTGGATATACCAAGCAAAATCTGTTCCTAGTCAAGACCATCGTCATTCAAAACTTAAAGTTCAACATTTTTAACCTGCCTTACAGAAATGTTTAAGAAAGCAATGAGCCCTTCCTTAACGTGACAGTAAGTGAACAAAAAGGAGCAATTTAGGCAGGAAAGCTATTCATGGGTCTCATAACCAAGAAAAGGATGGGGGGGGGGGTTCCACACAAGGTAGCATTTTGTTTTGATGTGAAAACGGAGCTAACATGAGCGAAACAAAAACAGTAAAAAGACTAAATAATTTACAAACCTAGAAGCCAGATTGGTATTTTTCATCAAGTATATGCCTGCCTGAAAATCTCTGCTCCGGAAGTAAGTATTTGGCAACCACAGTGATTAGCAGTTAAAGCAATTTCAACAAAATAAGAAGTCATCAAAAATGGACTACTTGTCTGAAAGAGCAGTACCTATTTATACAGATTGAACTTCATGGCTCATCATCACAACCATTTCCAAAATTTAATTCATACTATCCTTTTATAAATTAAGAGAATTTCATTTGTGTTCCGTAGCGCGATGACCAAAAAGGAAAAAACAAAAACAAAAAAGTAAACCCCTCATGCCTAAATTTAGGATATTGTATTGTATAGCAATTCAAAACATTCAAAACAAATTAAATAGTTTAACTTATTTGATACGCATATAAGCATTTCAAAAGCATAATGAAATCCAATTATGTGGTGCATAATGTAGACAAGAGTGGAATCTAACATTATGCCGACTTTTGCTAAATAAAAGCTCCCTGTAGGACCATTACATATCAACATGAGTAAGGTAAATGCAGACTAATTCTGTGGAACCTTTTGAAATTGAGAGTCTAAAACACAATACGTTTTTCAGGTAGGCACCAAGTTATTCTAAAAATTTTTCACAATGGTTGTTCTGATACTTCTTTCATCACATACTCTACATCAACAATACATGTGATTTGTCAGGAAAAAAAATCCCCCCAAACCAAAACACCATTCCAGATCCTGTACACTTAAATATATCACTCTCGTTGGAAGTGCTATCAGCATAGTCTTTGCAGCTAGCCCAAAGCATATATTTAAGAAGTTTTTATAAATTGTTTGTGATGTTCATTATGTTTAATTCTTATGCCAAACTGTTTTCTGATGAAGACAGCATTGTGCTTTATGCAAGAATGGAAACCTCAAAATAACCACCATAAAGCTTCTAAGACTTATGGGAGAATAAACTAGGATGGTCCACAGATATTAAGATGAAATCCACAACGTTGGAATTATAAATGTTTAGAGCGGCCCAGACTAGAAGACAAGCCCAAACCACCATTAGAAGAATGAAATATGATATGGTCCAAAATGTATCCTTAAAGTTTTGTCTCAACCCTCGGCCTGAATAGTGAGGATTGATCTTCAGTTCAGTCCAGCCAGCAGAAATTGACTGTGCAATTTTCCGTTGTATTTATTGTACAGAATATGTACATTCTAGAAGGTTCCTTTAGTG